TTCCATCCTTTTCTGATTTGGGTCATTGGGTAAAGCTGATCTCATGAAGAGCCCCTGAGAGATACAAAGGGCTAGTGCACATGGCTTCTAACCAAAAGGTTAGAGGTTGGACTCTATCCACAGGTGCCTCAGAAGGATGTCCTGGCTTTCTGCTCCCAAAAATCAGCTAGGAAAAATTCTGTGGCTCACAATTCTACTCCGGCAAACATAGTCTGTCGTCAAGTGGAGTTCATATAATAGACGACTACTTTAGCCTCAGAATAAGTTAAGAATATTTCCTTCTCTTCTATTTTCCACTGTAAATCAATAATCTTGAGTTACCCTGAGCCCTGTCTGACACAGACGACATATCCTTGCCATCCCACAGAGGATGTCTCTACCTTGCCTTTGTAGGAAGTTATTCTCAGAGCTTCTGTTTCCAACACGTCATGCTACCTTTTTTTGTTGGTTTGTGTTTGATGAAATTTTTATTGTAGATTAAGTGGGTTGACTCCTTTTCTGTATTATAATCCATATTGACAACTCCCCTGTTGTAACAAGTTTCACCTGTGATAAGTCAGTTTATGTGCACAGTCCTAGTATTGGGGGCAGAAGAAGAATTTTATTTTTGTATTCCAGGGAAATGTTTTTGGGTTTTTATTTTTCATTGTTCTGGGGCTGTGTGTGTGGAGTGTACCACAGCACTCCTTTCCCCTGACTAATAATCTGCTGATAGGTCTTTCTCTTGTCGTATACCCAGGAGACAAATCACTCAAACATGTTTAGATGCTACTGAAACAGGATAAATGACTCGTGTACAGTCTTCAGTTGGCTTCCTCGATGCCTAGTAACAGGTGCATTAATAAGTTCAGCCGGATTTTCCACAGCATCTCTGCTTCTGGCTTTATATGGGGTTCTTTGCTGTTGTTCCCCTGCCCACAGAGCAGCCTAACCGCGGTTCCAAAGTTAATGATTGCATAGGTTCAATGGCAACGATTCCAGGACAGCTCGTGGGAGCCCACCTTTCTGGTCTCTGCCTTCTGTTGCCTTCTTACTGATTAAATTGGGGGGTGGGGGAGAATAAAACTGTAAATAGCAACACTGGTAAATAGCAAAACTAGTAAAATGAAGAGTTGTATTTTAAATTGGTTAGAGAATGGCCAGTTTTCCTGGTGAAGATGTGCATGTCCATTCCATGTCTGTCCAGTGTGGGATAGCAGTTCCCGCAGAGAGTCTGGATTCACCAGCAAAGCAATGAAACACCAAGGGAAACCGCATGCAAAACAGGACATAGACAACACAGAGGAAGCACCCGTCTCCCCACCGAGATGGAAGCACAGGAAAATAGGAGTGCCTTCTAATGTGATTTAGCAGAATGGAAATGCTTTATCATATGAGGATAATGGGTGGCTTTCTCTTTCAAAACTTCTTTTCCCCAGTGTTGCCCCTGAAAGAGCCATGTTTTCTGGTTTGGTTTTGTTTTTAAAGAAAGAGTACAAATAAATAAGTAAATAAAATACATAGTGATTGTTAATGATATGTAACTTGAATGATACATTAGTCTCATGAAAGCTTTTTGTCAGTATTTTGTTTCTTCTAGGAAAATTCATATGTAGATTTTGAACAATTAGCCTAACAAACTATATAGCATATATTATGATTACATCAGTATATTTCAGATAAAAATTGAATTCAGATGTAAGTTTATTTTTCACTTCATTGTTGTGTAATGAATTGTGCATTATTAGCGCTGGTAGCCTAGTGGTTGCACATTGGGCGGAGACCCTCAAGGTATGCAGTTCAAAACCACCAGCTGCTCTGTGGGAGAAAGGTGGGACTTTCTATTCCCCGTAAACAGCTTCAGTCTCAGAAGCTCACAGGGACAGTTCCACCCTGTCCCATAGGTCGCTATGAGCCAGCATCGGTGCAATGGAAGTTAGAGAGAGGGATGTTTTTCTTATTAAAT